GATGATGAAGATGAGGGAGGATTCTTCCCACCCTCAACACAACACAGTGAAGAATCAACAGAGTGTGTTTAGTGGGAGGCTGCGTCAGCTTCGCTGTCGAACGGAGAGATACAGAAATTCCTTCCTGCCAACAGCCATCACCTTAAAAAACAAATCTGACTGACTGAATGATTGCTGTTGGTGTTGTATAGAATATATGTTATATTGATAAAAAAAAAAAAAAAAAGTGAGCTTTTACAAGATTGAATTTCCCTTCTGGGATAAATAAAGTATTTTTCATTTCATTTCATTAAAGTGCAATGAAACAATAGATGTCAGGCTTCATCATCATTAAGATGAAAAAATCTCTACATTGCACGACCACAATGCCATCTTTTGACTTTAGATAAGTAGCATCTGTTGTATGAGGAATGTTTGTTACTTATCACTTGCAAATACCCTAATTTCTCCAGTTGTTTGAAGAAACTTAGTCAGACATATCCTTACTTATCACCAAGCTTTGGCTCTGCGTATTCTTGTAAAACAGAAGATAAAGGTCCCTCTACTGCTACTTTGAACATAGGACTGATCAATTGAATTTACTGACTTTCCTTTATTAGAAGGTGGTGCCCAAAAGTTCCAACAAATGCAAATCTAAATTCAATCGTAGTCACAATATAAAGTGGACTGAAGCAACATTGTTTTCAACACTTGACCAAAGTAAATGTAATGCATGGAGTTAGAACTCTTACCCCGGTATTCCTCCAGCTTCCATTTTGTTGGCCACAGTGACGTCTGTGGACCAAACATCATACTGCCAGCGTTTCTGGCCCAGCACTCCACCCAGGACTGTACCACTGTGCACTCCAACCCGCATGTCAACATCAGTCTGGGTTTTCTCTCGGACATACCTGTGGTTGGTTCACAAAGGAACCACATTAAATAAAAAGCAGCAGGAAGTGAAACTAGCTTTAATTGGTACACTCATCAATCTAGCTTTTTTTCCCATTGGAAAACTCTAAATACCATAATACCACAAAACCCTTCTCACCCAATGGGAAACATTGTCTCTGATTTATATTGTTTAGAGCAGGGGTTCTCACCTGGTGGGTTGCGACCCAAAAGTGGTACGCGGACAGCTGGTCAAAATTAAATAATATATAATGTGCGTCTCAGGTTGGAATTATTTTTTATTTTGAAAAAAACTTTTATTTTTACAGGCATGGTAACCATAGTTTGACGTTCATTTCAAGTTTGTGTTGATGTTTGGACGCAAGATGGCAAAGCGCAAATATATGGAAGAGGATTAGGGCCACTGAAAAAAAATAAAATAAAATTCTGAGAAAAAAGTCAGAATTCTGAGATTAAAGTCAGAATTCTGACTTTTTTCCAGAACATAAAAAAAAAAAAAAAAAAATTCCGGGAGATTTTTTTTTTCAATCTCTGAAAAAAGTCAGAATTCTGAGATTAAAGTCAGAATTCTGAGAAAAAAGTCAGAATTCAGGGCGCCGCTATAGCTCACCTGGTTGAGCTGGCGTCCCATGTGCAGGGCTGCAGTCCCAATGTGGAGGTCATGAGTTCGAATCCCGGTCATGACCCTTTCCCACATGTCCTCCTCCCATTCTTCTCCCCTACTTTCCTGTCTCTCTCACTAACACTATCCAATAAAGGCACAAAGGCCAAAAAAAAAAAGAAAAAACTAAAAAAAAAAGTCAGAATTCTGAGATTAAAGTCAGAATTCTGAGAAAAAAGTCAGAATAGTAGCCGTGTCTCAATATGCGTACTTGTCCGTACTTGCATTCTTGTGGACTTGTGAAACGTCATCAGTCGGACACCAAGTACTGTCCCAATTCTAAGTACGCACCTGACCAAGTACGGATGAAATGCCCGGATGTGTTCTTGCTCCGCCCACATTATCGAGTCCGCATCAGACCGGACTTGTGTGGACTTCAGATAGCCAAGTATCCCAGAATGCATTTCGCGCCACCCAGTGGCAAAAGCCGAGGAGAAAACTTTAAACGATAACACAGGTTTTTTTGTAAATACTATTGTTATTGTGAGACAAATTGTAGTTTTATGATTATTTGAGGCGAGAAAGTAGTGGTATCAACGTCAAATACGTGGTCATTTTATCAGGATAAAGCCTGCTTAAAATTTTGCTCCGACGATTTCGGAGATGTGAGTGTCCCAGTTTGACAGCTGTGTCAGCGCTCACAGTAGCTGCCGAGAGCCGCCTGATGTCGGCAAGACTTTCTGAAGTCTGCCACTGGCTCTGACGGTTCCGTAGCAGTTAAAAAGGGATATACGTAGTTTTGCGTCAATCTGACGGTGACCGTCAAACCGGGACGCTCACATCTCCAAAATCATTGTCCGTTTGACAGCTGTGACGGTGGCTAGCGCTCACAGTAACCGCCGAGAGCAGCCTGATGTCAGCAAGACTTTCTGAAGTCTGCCACTGACGGCTCCGTAGCGGTGAAACAGGGATACACGTAGTTTAGCGGTCACACTTTGTCCTCACAGTGTAATTTGTTTATTGCTCACAATCGATTTAAAAGAAGTTAAAGTTAATGTTGGAACTTTATATTTTTATTTAGTGTTGTACTCGATCGCTGCCTCAGTACGTCTGAATTATTTTCTTGCTTTCATTACCTGTAGTACAGTCTTGTTCTATTCCTATGACTGTGACTGTGCATTAAAAATAGCATTTAAGAAATGTTTTAGTGAAAGGCCAGCTGAATGAACGTCCTCCTGACTGCTGGGAGACTCCCCAGAACATGAGCAGCTCCATCCTGGACTTTCTGATGGAGAATCTGTTTCCAGCGCCACTGAAGAGCATCAGGAGGATGAGAGGCACAACGTTTTTCATCGGTATATGTTTTGTAAGAGACTTTTGTCCTGTTATAAAACAAAATCTTGTAAAAATGACCCTGTTTATTAATTGTTATATTTATTATATATAGTTCTTGTCTATTTAAGTATTTTTGCAATTAAAATTTTTCAACTGTATTCCAAAGATGAATAGTCTGATATGAATTGCTAAGGCTGCTATGACATTTTCCTCCAACATCTAACCTGTTGATCAGACACTGCTGTCAACAAATTAACGGCTTCAATAAAGATTGTATAACGACCTTAGAAACCTCAACATGTATACATACTATTTATATATATATTAAAACGTAATTCAGCAAAGCTGTGTTCTAGTATTTCATTTAATTTAGTTGTTTTTCACAGTAAAGATAATCAGAGTCGATGAGCGTGGTGGTGGTGACGTCATTGAGTACGCTGCTGTCCCAACTGCACATAAATGGCGATGCGTTCTCCCGTACTCGCTAGACCATACTTGCGTTCTCACAAGTACGGACTTGTGTACTTGAGTATTGAGACACAGCTTCTGACTTTAATCTCAGAATTCTGACTTTTCTTTTAGAGATTGAAAAAAAAACAAACTCCCAGAAATGTTTTTTTTAATGTCCTGTAAAAAAGTCAGAATTCTGACTTTAATCTCAGAATTCTGACTTTTTTTCAGAGATTGGAAAAAAAAATCCCCCTGATTTTTTTAAATTTTTTTAATGTTCTGGAAAAAAGTCAGAATTCTGACTTTAATCTCAAAATTCTGACTTCAATCTCAGAATTCTGACTTTTTTCTCAGAATTTTACTATTTTTTTCTTCAGTGGCCCTATTCCTCTTCCATACAAACATGACCCAAAATGATTAAAAATGTGGATTTTCATACTAGGGCTGGACCCGAATAGCCAACTATTCGTTCGCTGTGCTGTTCTCCAAATATTCCTCCCACCCACCCAGACCAGTTGAGAACCCCTGGTTTAGAGCACAAAGGGACAAGAGAACGAATGACCTCTCATTGTCAACTAGTGTCCAGTTCACTTTATATCACAGCTGCAGTCCACAGAAAGTCAATAAAAGTCCATCAGAATAATCAATTCCCTGCTGTGGACAAAGTGACTAGTCCACTACATTACATCAAAATGAAGCTAATCTTTAGAGCTGGCCAGCATCACCCAGATCTATCTCAGGCTGCTCCTGTATACTCACGAGATGGCCTCCACCATGGCCAAGCCCATCATGATGGAGCAGGCAGCATGGTCCTCCCTGTAGTCTGGCAGCCCACAGATACAGTAGTAGCAGTCTCCCAGGATCTTTATCCGCAACTGGTGATATTTCTGACAGTGTAGATAAGGTTTAGTAAGAGATGTACCAAATATACAAAGATCAGACTGGAATATCTACATCTTTATCTATTCCTCTTATCTGAATCAGAACTTTAAAAACTGCTATGTAACAGACTACAAGAGAGCACAAGTATTTCATGGTAACAAAGTGGATGATATTACATGACGCATTCAAGTGCATTCAAATGTGAGAGCAGTAGTAGCAAAAAGTAATCACAACAGCATACATGGCACTGAGTTGTGACCTTGCATGGTTTTGATAGAAGACCATGTGTTTCCCTCCATCTCTGCACTGCACAAATAAGATATTGACAGTAGGCTATTTTTGACTTGTATTTATATCTCTAGCCCTTTGACAGCCTGGTGACCTGTCCAGGGTGTCCCCCGCCTTCGCCCTGAGTCAGCTGGCATAGGCTCCAGCCCCCCCACATTCCTAGTGAGGATCAAGCAATCAATCATAGATCACATGTAAAATTAAGATATTGATGCACAATCCATCACTGACTCACTTTAAAAAAAGATATCGACATGCACATCCACCACAGTCAAAGCCTGGTGGTGTATTATCATAAACTTCCCTCACTTCAACTCAAAGATTAAAAGAAAAACAAACTTTCTTGATGCCAACTGATGCAAAAACAACACAAAAGTATAAATATGGCCAATGATTGTATTTTTTTCAACTGTAGCAGAGAGCATTATGCAACGAAATTTCGTTCTAGTGTATTGTTTTTTATGCATGTAAGCTTAAATGACAATAAAGTTATCTATCCATCTATCTGTCTGTCTGTCTGTCTGTCTGTCGAAATATAACCCTCCATGACTGTTTTCCTAATGTTTGCATTCTAGAGCTAGACAAGAGCTGTACATACAATACACAGCATTCCTTTATTTCCAGTATCTCAGCCACATCAACTGTAAGTCAACTCTGTCAGGAAGCAGGTTTGCCTTTTTTCTTAAGCAACAGACCAACCGCTGACTCCTCATCAGAACTGTCCTCCTCATCAGAAATATGGGACACAACAGGGTCTGAATGATCTTTACTTTTGAAAAATGAATTGATAGTTTGTTTCATCAAACACATGTAGATGACATCCCACATGTTGTTCATTGCCATTTATCCAACTCACATACACAAGCACGCACACAAGCACATTCTCACTTTACCCTGGTGTTTCACATGATATATGATGATAATTAAAAAAACAAAACAAAGCAAACAAACAAACAAACAAATGAAAAACAGGGAGAATATTTGCAAGTTGGACTGGCATTACCCTGATAGCTAATGACAGCACCAAATACTTTATCCATACACTGTACATACTTACTGAAACATTTTCAAATCATTTTCAAACTCTGTTAATAATCTAAAAATGGGCTTTGAAAATGTGGGCAGATGCTGCACCTTAAGACTAGAGTTCACATCTAAAATTTAAGTCTTGTCATCACCGTGTGCCAGAAACACAGACTTCAGTAGGTTGCTGCATCAAGCTTTAAGAAGTAGTTCCAGATTCAACTTCCCATAAAAACAATTTGTTTTCACATTGCTGTTGGAAAACAAATGATGAACACCCCTTACTTTAAATGTGAGGCCACAATGACCAGGCCAAGTCAGTAGGTCCTGTACATGCAGCAGCACAAAGTGCAAAAGAGAATCTACAATGATGCAGAGAAATGTTACAATGAAACGTTCACTAGTTGTATCAAACCTATTTCCTAGTTTTAATTTTTAAATATCTCACATAGTAAATGGTAATCTTATTGTCAAAAGTGACACAAGATTATCATGCGATTGAAGAATAAAACACAGAACACCACTTTTGCTAGCAGCTAAGCTGGAAAGGAGACATTGGCATACTCGAAGGATGAGCGGCTACAATCAAACGTCATCCACAGACACACACACAAAAAAGAAAAACTAAGTTATAAGTGATCTGTCACCTTATTTATAATGGTCTCACACAAACAACAACTGACATGAAACACAGACATACATTTAAAATGTCTATACAACACAAAATATAATAATTTCTGTAAGCTTGATTAGCATTATGAAAAATAATGCATGTCTATAATTGAAATGTGTAAATGTCATGCAAATGTAATTTTAATATGATGGATACATCACTGTTACATAACATTGTGAAACTCACTGCTGCCAGCTTGTCAAAGCGAGCAAAGAGTTCATTAAGTAGTTTGACCAGCTCCTGAGCGCTGCAAGATGATGATAGCTGGGTGAAGCCCACGATGTCTGCAAACAAAATACTGTATAACAACAAGAGATGCATACAAACAACACATTAGTACTAATATCATACTGCTACAGTCACATAACCTGCATCTTTCATGCACATTTTTTATGCTTCTACACTACTGCGAGAACTCTAAGGTTCAAAGGTTCTCAACCCTTCTATTTATCCTGCAATAGTATGTAAATGTAAATTAACTTAATAAAGCCATTAAATTGTGTCTGCTCTATCATCACAATATTTTTCTCACTTAACATTGATACATGTATGTCAGTTCAGAAATTTCACAGTTTCTGTTTAACTTGAAAAAATTCGTAGCCTTGAACTTCTGTGTTATAGTTGGAGATTCAGAAGCTGGGAATGAGTAGCAGAGAACTGCAAACAGAGAATCTATTTAAATAAGTCACTGACATCACTTTAAACAGTTCCACCTTCATGGAACTGTCTCATTCACTTCAAGTCTCGATGTGGCTTTTTAAGATTGGTTCACCAAGTCTATCTAGTTTCTATTCAAAATGGGTCGACTGCTTGGCTGTCAGTATTACTGCTTTCTCAATATTAGCTGAAACTACTTCACACTCAACACTCAACTCAACTGACTGTATTGGGTTATCAAAATATTAACATTAAGACATAAATTAGCTGATGCCTCATTAGGTATAAATAGGACCATTGAGAGAGAGGGTCATAAGAGAGAAGGTTTATATCATTCAACTATTAAAACAATTAAATGATCACAAGTAAATAGGGCAGGGGGCTATGGCCAAAAGCATTTATCACGATATGAATGAGAAAAGGGTTGGGTCGCGGCGGGTGGCAGGCAAATTTTCGGATCTCAAAATAGCTATCTGGACACCACCACAACGACCGAATATTCCAATATTCAGGTCCAGCCCTACTGTGTCGGTCGATGTACTGCATTTGTCCTCCTCCTCGGTCGCTACCATGCTTCTCACTCAATGTGCATTAGAACGGATGAAAACGACGGCGCTGCCCAATGCACATTTCACTCAAATTTTATTACAATATTTCAATTTCATATCATCCCCTAACATTACACCAGTACTACTGTGCACGGCATGATGTGGCCCAGCCCTACAAGTAAAGAATAAAAACTTGTTCTCATGTCTGTTACAGTCTGACAATGTATTAATGCACAATGACTGGAAAATCTGCATTGTTCAGGAGTGCAATGACACATATTTTTCTCTTTTAGGTACATGGCTGATGCAAAATATTGAATATCCTATTACAACCATGCTTTTATTGAACAAATTGCACATGAATACCCAACAATTTAAATGGGATATCAATTTAAACAAGACATTAAAATTATGGTATAAGAAATTAAAGCATAATTTTCCCTGCTGCTTCCTTTAAGATATTTTCTTCTAAAATTCAACAGAATCATCTCTTTGCATTAGTTGGTAGCCCTAGTCTCCCACAAGCTTCTGGTAAGCTTCTGGTTGTCCTTGACCACAGAAGTAGTCAAGTTCAAGTAAATTTGTTGGCTTTCTGAAACAGACTTGTTTCCCATTGAGAACACTCCACAGGTTCTTAGTGGGTTTTAAGTCTTTGGAAAGGCCAGTCTAAAAACAGAATTCTGTAGCCATGTAGCCATTTCTTTACCACTTTTGATGTGTGTTTGGTGTCATTGTCCTGTTGGAACACCCAACTGCATCCAACACCCAACTTTCTGGCTGATGATTTTAAGTTTTCCTGAACAATGTGGAGGTAATGCTCCTTTATTTTTCTGTTTACTTTGTGTAAAGCATTGATGCATAAAAGCATTGTTTGCAGATATGATTTTGGGACCTGTAGCTGCTTTGAAACAGCTCCAAGTAACTTTCATGACTTTTGTTTCAATAATTTATTTTTCTATTTTATATATATATATATTTGGCCTTTTTATGCCTTTATTCCAGAGGTCAGTGAAGAGAGAAAGGAAAGCTAGGGAGAAGAGTGGGGGAAGGACATGCTGAAAATCAGCCATGGGTCAGACTCAATCTATTGCCACTGCATATGGGACCTTTAACCCCTATACTTGAGTAACCTGCTCAACCTGCTGAGCTACTGGGGTGCCCGTTATTTTAATGATTTATGTCTTGAGATCTGTACTAAGCTCCTGACACTTGGCCATTGTAATGTTGGTGGCTGAGTCTAATGCGTCCACCAAATAGGTCTTATTTAAATTGTCAGCAGCTTTAGTAAATCATAACTCACAAAGACTTAAGAGGCCATGCCACTGAGAAAAGTTGATTCTCACAACTCTCTACATCACCAAAACTGATACTCTAAGTTGTTGTATGTATATTTTGACCTAGCAGATTGTGTCGTTTTTCCAGAAGACCTATAAAAATTGATGAAAGAACGAAAATGCACAGCTGTTTTTTGTGACAAAGATGTATGTGTTTCAATGATTACATAATAAAAAAAATCAAGAGCTATAGGAGTCATTGGAAACTAAAGACTGCCATGATGTACAAGTGTATGTAAACTTTTGTTCACAACTGTATGACTGTACCAGGCAACATACTAACTTGTTTTGAATGGTCATGCAGGACTCCGACCACAGAAGTACCAAGTTACCTGACATTTTCATGCCTGTACATGTACATGGTGTTGAACTGCTGCATCTCTTTCTGACTTGGCTCTTTCTTCATGTCCTGAAGCATCTCATCAGCTATGTGCTTTGGAAGAATGGAGAGCAGCAGGCGCTCCTGTGGAGGACATAGAAAGACAACATCAGCAAAAGCAAAATGAATCAAGCACCACTTAGATTGTGTTCGTATCACTAACGCATAGAAGAATTCAAACACTTATTTACTTTCTTTGTAAGAGGAAGATTTTCAGATGGATGTCAATCTGATGTCTGTGTGCAGGAGTCAGGATGTGGTTAGTCTAGTGCAGGGGTCGGCAACCCGCGGCTCTAGAGCCGCCTGCAGCTCTTTCATACCTCTGCTGTGGCTCCTTGGGGCTTTGGAAAATAAACACTGTATTTTAATTTAAATGTATTTTATTTTAGCTTGTTAGTTTTTAAAATGTTATTATAAATTTGAAGATTTTTGTGAACTTGTAACAATAAAATAAAACGTGTTTAATTTTTTTGATGCTCATAATAGGTGTCACAACCGCCGATGTGCGACACCCGCCGGCACATGCAGGGTTGCCAACTTGGCGGCTTTCTCGCTAAATCTGGTCACTTTTCAAATCGTCTTGGCGACTATTTTTTGTTATAGGCAACTAGCGACAAATCTTGTGACTCTGTCTGGTGTTATTGGAGAATTTTCTGGTGTTTTGGAGACTCTGACGTGACAACACATATCGTTCTGCAGTTACTGTCCTCAGCGAGCAGCGGTGCTGCCGTGAGCTCCTCCCATCCCAAAGCACTCACAGGCGGTCAGCAGTCTGGTCAGCAGTCACAGCTGCAGTCAGCAGGCCAACCAGACAGCACTTGTACTTTGCTGCAGGTGAATAATTTAAGATCGGCTTTTTATTTCATATACACAAAGAGGATTCAAATAGACAATGAGTATTTGATTTCAAAATAACCTTCAACCCAGCATCTTTTTTTTTTTTTTTTTTGAGTTCTGGAGTTTTGGAGTTTTTGTAGCTTGCAGAAATAACTTTTCTTTTTCTCTGTAGCAGTTCATTAATTTCATGAATGCAAAACACTATTGTTTTTAAAAAAAAGATACATAGTAAAAAGGTAAAAATGATATATGCAGTGTCATCTTCATTTTAGATGTCAAAAGGGTTTTGTGGCTCCCGGTGTTTTCTTTTCCGTGGGAAATGGGTCCAAATGGCTCTTTGAGTGTTTAAGGTTGCCGACCCCTGGTCTAGTGAAACATAAAGCATACAAGCAGAGAGAAACTATTTGACTATATTATCTGAAGCATCTGTTAAGACAGGTATTCTTTCTTTTCTCGACAGTGTGTAGGAAATATACCATTTTCCAGCCATGTCTGTAATGTGTTAGCATTAGCAACGGGTTGGCTGTGAACACAAAGTACTATCATTTAGTCACGTCTGACCTTTTTGGTAATATCATTGTGGTAATTACACCCTTTTTAGTATGTTGCCTGCTATCTTGTATTAATATGGATAGGTGGTAGTGTGCACTTCCTATGCATAGCATGTGCTTTGACAGTTGAACACTGAGCTTTCTATGGATGTCGAGAATGCTTTCACTTTGTCTATTTTTTTCTGGTTGCACAATTTCAAACTAAACAAAGTATGATGTCAGACCAAAAGTCATAAATCAGCAACAACACATTTTTGAATGAGGACCAGACTCCAGGAAAAGAGAAAAAAGTTTTAAAAACAATTTGGAGCCCACGGTGTTAATTTCATTATTAGTAACCTTCTTATTTTGTGCCTTTTGTTGGCCTATCCTTATATTTACTTTTTACATTATGACAATAACCAAAAGCAACATTTTGACATATACTTTATATCAGAGGTTTGCAAACTGTGAGGTCTCCCTCCCTAAAGTGGAGGTTACAGTGCACACCACATAAATGCAGCATCCATGCTCTGATTCCAGTCGAGGACCTGTGCTGCACATCAATCCCCTGCTTCATCATCCTCATCAAGTCAAAAATACCAAAATTTATTTATTTTTAAAAATAATATTACATAACAAAAGACCCTGTATTGTGGGAGTTTTTTTTCAGTCCTGATGTTGTCTGTTTCCTCTCTTTCACCTCAAAACTACATACAATAAGTCTGTATTACTAGCAGATGTATAACCTTATTTTGGTTACTGGAAGTCTGAATAATTCTTGGGTTTCTAGTCTGGCAGTGAGCATACCCACTCTCCTGTGCAACCGCTATTTGTCATGGTGAATCGATTGTATCCATGCTCAGCATCTCATGCTGCTTAAGAATAGCGCTAACAGAGATTTGGATGAGAGAGATCTACTAATTACCACATTGAATTGTCCTGTTTTTTGGTTCTGTTAATGTGGTAGAATCAGTGAGAAATAGCTTCTTAAGCTCCTCTTCTATTAATGTCACACTTAAGCAATCTTGGTGGCTGGGGGCTGACACAGTTTCAATGGGGTGTTGGAAGGATGATGGCCATAAGAAGCCACAGAGAAGCATGTCATTCATAGAGAAATTTTGACCAGCTGATGGGGACAGATTTTTACTATAGAAATTTAGAGCAAGTTGTTAACAATAAAATCTATATTTTGATTCATCTTACTTCACAGCAACAACAAAAAAGGCTTATTATCATGTTTAAAATTGCACTATCACTGTTGTAATTTAAACTGAAATGAAAGCCCCATTGGCATATAACTCTCTATTTACTGCAAAGTATAACTGTGCCAGAGTAAAACTGCACAGGCACAGGCTTCAAACTTTGAATTTAAATTGCCACGCAAAGTGTAAGTAAGCCTAACACTGAAAACAGAAAACTGAACTTTGACTTGCATTTGACCTCTATTACCTAATTTGTAGGATGGACATCACATCTGATTACAAGAAACACAACACTTGAAAGTCCCTGTTTTTTGTGCTGCCAGTGTTGCCATGTCTGCTGTGTGTAACAGAGTTTAAGCTTAAGCTAACTCTGTTCTGCATACAAATAGACTTGATATTGATATCTGCCGTGTATGTCTGTATTCAATTCAATTCAATTCAATTCATCCATCCATTATCTATACACCGCTTAATGCTCACTCGGGTCATGGGGGGGACACAGCCAACTTAGGGGACACCCTTGGCTTCGCCCTAAGTCGGCTGGGATAGGCTCCAGCCTGGCCTGGTCGCCAGTCTGTCACAGGGCTACACTTAGAGACAGACAACCATGCACACTCACATTCACACCTACAGACAATTTAGAATTATCAATTAACCTCAACATGTTTTTGGACTTGTGGGAGGAAGCCAGAGAACCCGGAGAGAACCCACGCTGCACGGGGAGAACATGCAAACTCCGCACAGAAAGATCCCAGTGCTCCCACCAGGACGCGAACCGGCGACCTTCTTGCCACAGTGTTAACCAACTGCACCACCTTGCAGCCCCAATTCAATTCAATTCAATTCAATTCAATTCAATTCAATTCAATTCAATTCAAAGCAATATTATACAAAATTATAAACAGACACTCAAAAATACCAGAATGTCATATGACCCAGGGCATTCCCATACCATATAAAGGCTTGTTTTTAAAGGGCAGGCAATTGATAAAAAGGAAAATACTTTGGTGACATATATGTATGAATGCCATATGTATGAATGTAAAAACAACTGTAAAAGTTATGTGTGTTGACAAAAAACAACACTTTCAAAATCTATACAGGGGAAGTGTCATGATCTCATTCGGAAAAGGAAACTGAGCAACAGGAACCTGGCAATCAACACACAGCGTATGGATGAAAGTTTTTTCCCTGTAAAGTTAATTCTGGATGGAAGCTAACTTGTGGAACTTGATAACTAACTCTGGTGTAAGTGGAAGGGTCATCATTAACATAAGTATATATAAATAAACATGATTTTTGCTGTTGTTCCTTTGATCCCAAAAAACATGGTCCAGTCTCTGTAATGAGATGTTGTGACCAACTATATCAAACGCAGCACTGGGATCCAGTAGAACAAGTCAAGTGACTAGTCCACTGTCTGAAGCTATAAGTAGATCATTGGTGACTGTCAGCAGTACTGTTTTTTGTATTATGATGCACTCTAAATTAAACCCTTTAAATCAAGAATTTCTGTGCTGATAGTCACATAATTGGCTTGCAATAGCTTTTCAAGAATCTTAGTAATATAGGGGTGGTTAGATATGGGTCTATGATTGGCTAAAATGCTAGGCTTTTACTATCGTGGTTTGATTATTGTGAGGGTCATGGACTATGTTACTGTGTTTCTGGTTTTTTCCTGGTTCTTTGTGTTTTGGTGGGCGTGTTTTTTCCCTGCAGGCTGGGTGGAGGCGATCGGGGAAGGACGCTCTCGCGCTGGCAGCTGTGGCTCATCTGCTCATCAGCAGATGACCTTAAAAGCGATCATCTCACAGGACTCCAGCGTCAGATGATTGTGATACCTCCCCAGTGGTACGGTCAGGCTGCTTCGCCGCTACACTTTGTTGAGTCTTTGCTAAGTTTTTATCTTTCGAGTTTTCGAGCTTATTATGTCTATCTCTGTGTGTCTCCAGCATCCCTCCTCGGCTCCAGCAACCAGCGCTCCACCCGGCACGCCAGCCTTTCACCCACGAGCTCACACAACGGGAACCCACGGTCTCGAGCACCCTTACGAGAAGGATCACTACTCAAGCACCTCCACCTAGAAACCTCGACGGGAAAACCACTCACGAGCACCGTCCCCTGAGCACTGTTTCTCCTAGCACCGTCACTGGGATCCTCCACCTGGAAACCTCCACGGAAAAACCACTCACAAGCACCGTCACCGGGATGTTCCCCCACGGACTCCTTCCCCAGCACAGCCACAACGAAAACCCTCACACGGACTCCAGCACCGACGACGTCGCACGGCATCCCCCCACGACCGGCCTCCCTTCACCAGACTCTACTTCTGCCTCCTGGTGCCCATCACTCCCCCACTTTCCCTAATAAAACCTGTTTCCTTTAACCCTTCTCCTCATCTCCCTTTTCATTTGGGTCCACCTGCACAGCCACAGAGCACGAGCTGTCACAATTATAACAATATTAAAAGCCTGCAGTACATAGCCTGTTAATAAAGCAAGGTTGATTATTTCTAATAATGGAGTGTTGATTAAAGGAAAAACATCCCCAAGCAGTCTGGTTGGATGCGGTCTAACAGACATCTTGCTGGTTTAGAAGACATGACTTTTGACGTGAGCTCTGAGAGATTAACAGCAGAGAAGCAGACCAAGTATAAATTTGGTCCCACGTAGGTCTCCACAGCCACTGCATCTAAAGACATGTTTATGGTTTTTTCTCTCATAATCAAAATTTTACTTTATAGGAAGGCCATGAAGTCATCACTACTGAGAGCTAAAGGAACAGTAGGCTCCACAGAGCTGTGACTCTTTGTCAGCATGGCTACAGGGCTGAAAGAAAATCTGGGATTGCTTGTTTCTCTCTACTCAAGATAAATCATGAGCAGTTCTTGCCCCGTGGAATGCTTTTTTAGAAGTGATAAAATTGTCTTTACAGGATTGGTCAAATTGTTCAGAATTTGTGGAATGCCACTGCCTTTCCAGCCCTTGTGAAGTCTGCTTTAAGAGGTGCAATTTGTCATTATACCATCGAGCTACCCTTCTATGATTCATAGCTTTCTTTTTCAGAGGGGCAACAGTCTCAAGTGTTGTATTTAGTGAGACTG